CAACCTCGGTGAGAGATTTCCAGAAACCAACGGCTGTTCGCCATCACCGAACCGAAACAACAGCTCCTCGCCGATTTCTATTCGAGCAGCCCGTATGTGCGTGGGAAGCTGGAGCAGCTGCGAGAGAGAGAGAGAGAGAGAGAGAGAGAGAGAGAGAGAGAGAGAGAGAGAGAGAGAGAAAGAGAGAGAGACCACGTTGTCGGGAAGCCGAGTTCTCTGGCTGCTGGCAACCCGGTTTCAGCACAGCCTTTCGTCAGTCCTCCCCGACAGCCTGAAGTCGCGCCATTCTCAATTCGAACGGCGAGCAGAAGCCGTTCGAGAATATCTGTTCACGTCAGAAGTTTCAGACGAGCAGCCGTCGGCCCCCGTCCAGGCCAGAACAGCCGCAATACTCCCCGCTGGTTTCTTTTCTGAGTAGCGGCACCCCCCGTCGGTTTCCGTTTGGCAGCCCGAACAGCAGCGGCAGTCCTTTCGGGTCGTCCGATAATAACGGCAGTCGTTCGAGGCTTTTATCGAGCAGTCGGGGTCCTCGAATATCGCCTTCAAGCAATAGTCATCCCCTTTGCTGTTCAACAAGTAGTTGGCCGTGCGTGAGAGTTGTCGTGGGATAGCCGACGCCGACTTCCCGTTCGAGGCATCGTTGTTCCGTTCTTTTTAGCCTTTGTAGATTTTCCTTGAAGGAGGTAATCATTCCTTACTCCTTTTAATAATTTAGAATCTTTTGAGGGATACAAGGGGGCTAAAGGTTCATGCCGATTGGATTTGTTCATTTAGATATTAGGAAAATTCATGAGTATGATTATTATGAGGTGGACTCTCGTTTTGGATATTAAAAGGCTCTGAACAATTCATGATTTTGGTGTATTAGACAACCAGGTCATTTGCCTTGAGTTGTTTGTAAAAGTTGAGGTTATTCACCCTTGCTTGGAACCATGTCCATTTTTCGAAAATTGGGTTGACATGCTGCAAAATTTCTGAGTTTTAGACCTCTGTTAAGAAGCTTAAAAACCTGGGAATTTTGGATTTTAATCGCCCATTTTCACTTTCAAGAAAACGAGTTATAAATTGCCTATGATTTGAACATTTTTTTTTACTTATTTTTGAGAATCATATCTATGCCTAAGGTTCATCGATTTTTGAGTATTGAGCAAATTTTTGAGCATGTGAATTTTTAAAAAGTGTTGGGACTCTCGTAAGCAGCTTGTTATGTGGAAATTTTCTAAGCTATAATATCTGGGGATTAGTTTAAGAGGAAATAGTTATTTTTACCCCGTTCTGAAGTCATATTAAGTTTTTTACCCCACCCAATAAAAAGCTAAGTTTTTCACCCCAAAATGTATGAAGACATATGTGATGAACTATGCGCTAAATAGGCGACAGGTATGAGCATGGGCGAGAAAATTATGAGTTAAAGTATGCGACTGTTCTACGATGAATATTCGGAGATTCGATGTACGATTCGGTCAATCGCGGTCCGTCGCCCATTAAATAATTATTTTTGTTAGGCGAATGTACTGCGACTATTAGTCGTAAAAATTATTCTGCGACACAACTGCGACATACCAACATCGCATATTATTCGAAGAATTAGTGCATAATAAGTTTTTTTTCGTATTTCTTTCATCTTTCAGTTATGCCAGGCGGTATGCGAATTACCGCATATTGCTCGCATACCCTCTTCGCACTTCTACTCGAAAGTGTATTTTTTATTTCTTACATCTTTCAGTTATGCGATGGGGTATGCGGATTTCCGCATATTGCTCGCATACCACCTACGCACTGCACATGTACGAAGACATATGCGATGAACTATGCGCTAAATAGTCGACAGGTATGAGCATGGGCGAGAAAATTATGAGTTAAAGTATGCGACTGTTCTACGATGAATATTTGGAGATTCGATGTACGATTCGGTCAATCGCGGTCCGTCGCCCATTAAATAATTATTTTTGTTAGGCGAATGAACTGCGACTATTAGTCGAAAAAATTATTCTGCGACACAACTGCGACATACCAACATCGCATATTATTCGAAGAATTAGTGCATAATAAGTTTTTTTTCGTATTTCTTTCATCTTTCAGTTATGCCAGGCGGTATGCGAATTACCGCATATTGCTCGCATACCCCCTTCGCACTTCTACTCGAAAGTGTACTTTTTATTTCTTTCATCTTTCAGTTATGCGATAGGATATGCGGATTTCCGCATATTGCTCGCATACCACCTACGCACTGCACTTCTATTCGAAAACTTATTTTTTATTTCTTTCATCTTTCAGTTATTTCAATTGTGCGATAGGGTATGCGAATTGCGCATATTGCTCGCATACTACCTTCGCACTTCTATTCGAAAGTTTATTTTTATTTCTTTCATCTTTCAGTTATTTCTGTTATGAGATGGTGTATGCGAATTGCCGCATATTGCTCGCATACCACCTTCGCAGTTCTACTCGAAAGTTTATATTTTTTTTTCTTTCATCTTTCATCGTTTAATTTAGTTTAACTTTCTGTCTTTCAGGTATGAGAATTGCCACATACATACAACAAACAACAAAATTATAATAATATGCAAAAAAAAAATAATAATAATAAAAATGTATTACATGAATCATTAAAGAACTGGAGCGGTAATTGTGTCTGGTTCTGTACTAAACTGAAAAATTTTTAGAGCAATTTTGTGTCTCATTGCTTTAGCCAACTGCTTGTTAGTCATCTCCAAACGCTTCTTCCTCGTGAGCAATGTTCGTACCATCTCCACAGCGCATACACCACAATTAATTTTATCATGTTGCAAGATAGTATTTTTGGGGTCCATGAATTCCAATTCGAACTCTTTGCTCACTCTCTCTACTCCCGCCGCATACGTGGCAATCAGTGGAATTCCTTTTTGGATTTTTTGGAGTCCTTCGATGCGATTTTCGCGAATGTGCTCGTTCTTCTTTTCTAAATACGTATGCCGTAGAGGGTCAAACACACTTATCGTCCCCTTGAGTAGAGAGATCTGGACAACCACGTAGTGGCCGGACAAATTCACTACTCCAACAATCTGTTGCATTGAGTTGTGAGAAATTCACTAATTTTTTTAGGAAAGATTGCGATATTAGTTGATTCAGAATCATTGAAAACTTACAAATTGAATGTTCCTCCAAGAAGACGGATTTCCCCATCCGCTGACCCCCTCTTCCGCAATGCGAATCAAAGATTGGAGGGTCTCCGAGGCCGCCGGGTCTACTTCTCGCTTATCGATCTCCTTCTCCAATTCCTCCAGCATCATCTATATAAAATACAACAAAATAATAAATAATAATGTTATTAATATAATTATTAATAAAAATGGAATGACAAGGAAAAGAGAAAGGATTAAAATAATCTCACAAAAAACGTAGTTGGCACGATGGTGTAAGTGCCCAACATATCTATCCATGGGTGGAAGCCCAAAAAGAGTGGATTGCTTTGCATAATCCCCAAGTATGCATCAA